CTGCCTCTCTGCCTACTTGTGATTTCTCTCTGTCAAATAAATAAATAAAATCTTAAAAAAAAAAAAAAAAAACCCTCTTTGCTTTGAATTTTTCACATAAAAAGAGACTGAGCTGTTGGCAAGACTCATAACCAGAACCGGGGATTAATGGATTCCTTCCAAAATAACCATCCTATTAGGCGTACTCACTCTTACCTCCATGACTTTGGGCTTAAGAAACACTTATGAAGTAGATAAGTAAAACAAATGCAGATTGATTTGATTTAAATACAGTTATAAAAATTTCCAAAGCTTTTACATATGACCTCTCTTTAGGATAAGAACTTACGGAGAAAACCTATTCTTTTTTTTTTTTTTTAAGATTTTATTTATTTATTTGACAGCGATCACAAGTAGGCAGAGAGGCAGGCAAGGAAAGAGGGGGAAGCAGGCTCCCTGCTGAGCAGAGAGCCCAATGAGGGGCTCGATCCCAGGACCCTGAGATCACGACCTGAGCTGAAGGCAGAGGCTTAACCCACTGAGCCACTCAGGCGCCCCAAAAACCTATTCTTTTGTTGTTGCTTAACACATGGAAAAAAATGCATGTGAAATATCCAAAAGCTATTAAAAATGCTAATACTTTTTTAATACTTTTTTTACAGTGGTAAAATATATATAACCTAAATGTCACCATTTTAACCATTTAAGTTTACAGTCACACTGTTGTGCAACCATCACCATGCTAATTATTTTTTTTTTAATTTTTTTATTTTATTTTATTTATTTATTTGACAGACAGAGATCACAAGTAGGCAGAGGCAGGCAGAGAGAGAGGAAGGGAAGCAGGCTCCCTGCTGAGCAGAGGGCCCGATGCGGGGCTTGATCCCAGGACCCTGGGACCATGACCTGAGCCGAAGGCAGAGGCTTTAACCCACTGAGCCACCCAGGCGCCCCACCATGCTAATTATTTTTTAATATATCCATAAGCTACATCCCATTGTGTTAGAGTAGGCAAGTTAGTTAGGCTTTAACAGGATGCCTGGAGGCCAGCCAAGAGGGCTTACTATTGCTATCAGGGAAAGTTAGAGACCCATCCTGGCTGTGCTCCAAAAACAAAGCCACAGAAGCCAGATCAAACCGGACAGATCCAAGACAAAGAAGGCCAGAGACCTAGACCAAGTAGGGAGGAAAGGTGTGAAACCCTGCTCCCAAGAAATAAATAGCCCACACCCTAGTGAACAAATGTCAGTAACAGACAGACACCCAACCCCAGGGCGCTCTCCCAGAGCTTGCCCATCCTCACATCTCAATAGTGGACTCTCGCTTTCATAAATTTTCCTACTTGCACCGCTCAACTGTTCTGTCTGATCTGTCCTTGAATTCTTTCTTGCAAGGAGACCACGAGCCTTCAGTGACATCTTTGGGATGGGATGGGCTGGGTCCATCACCTGGCAACAATTTCAGCACTAACAAGTCCATATCGTTTTTCTAAGTATCCTTTGGAACTGAAATTTAAATATTTTCTTATCTAAGGAAGAAAAGCATGTTGACTACATAAAAAAGGCAATTCACAGTATTACCATATTGATTTTCCAACCTAAGTTTTCCATGACATCAGTGAACTATGTCCTAAAAAGATATGCCTACCAACCAAATCCAATGAATTGTTTTAATAATTGTACTAATAACTGAACTCACTCCACAACCCTGGATATTTGGAAATGAATGCTGAAATGTGTAAGACGAATTGCAAACACTCCTTAATAGTAAAATGTTAAGTGACTCTTTTCCTATAAAGTAGTCCCATTGTGGCTCAACAGAGTAAGGGCAAGCGTGGGCCAAGGAGAAGGAAAAGAAGATATGTTACAGAGATTCCAGAGCCACACATAATCAAAAGCAAACCCTGGGCACCTGGGTGGTACACTAGGTTGGGCATCTGACTCTTGGTTTTGGCTCAGGTCGTGATATCAGGATAATGGGATCGAGCCCCGATTCAGGCTCTGTGCTCAGTACAGAGACTGCTTGAGATTCTCCCCCTCTCCCTGCGTCCCTCCCACTGGTGCTCTCTCTCTCTCCCAAATAAATAATAAATCTTTTTAAACATTTAAATTTAAATTTAAAAAAGCAAACCCCTCCATAAGAGCTTTACATTTTACCCCTTAGAGAGAATTTTCTAAGCTCCTTGCAAGGCGTTTCTAAGTAATGACATATTAATCTGCCACCCCCTTTACAAGAACGAATTGTAAGAGTACAGACTGGAATTGGTGATAACCAATTGGGGCAATTTGGCCTTGGCATCATACTTGGATTTAATAAAGAGTTCTCTTTTTTCTCAGTCATTTCAAATTATGAGATATTAATTAGCTAGTCATAGGCTGCCTAAACGCAATATTTACTTGTTTTCAGGAGTATTTATAATGACTTAACTGGAATGAATGATACAATCTTTTTCTCTTTTCTGTAGATCTCTCTTATAATCATTAAAATATGCCTGCTGTGAAAGGGGGAAACTCCATATATACAATCAGCAGCTAAAAAATTCTTAGGTAATCTTGAATTTTTTTAACTTTAGAGGGCATCTGCAGTTCAAGCTCATATGCACAACGTAAGAGTTTCATCTTTACCATAAATGGAAAATATGCTGGCTTACATCTTTCTTATTGGGTTCTGATTACATCAATCAAACCTAAGTGGCTACAATATAGTGACCATTAAACAAATGTCAAATGAATAAATACTCTAGGAAAGTGCCTTCCTGGAAGAAGGAGTTACCATTACCTAGTGAAGGGAAGGCATTTAAGGGAGCAGGGGGGCTAGTGGATTTTACCCTCAGAAATAACAGGAAAATCAGACTGCTCCAAAAGAACACATACAAAAAAGATTCAGAGATTCAGATATAAAAACTATATCAAGGATCAAAATAGTTTGTACTTTATAACATTTGTAAACTTGGAAGCTTTCTGGGGTCACATTTATTAGTGATTAGAAATAAAAAGCCTCAGAATAAAAGAATAAATAGGTGTATATCCACAGGGACAGCAAGAAAGAGAGATCTACCTTACGGGGCTGCTGGGAAGAAGGAGAGGAACCCCAGACATAAGGGTGCGCAATGCCAGTCTTAACCAGAAACTGACAACAAAATGGCATAAGATGATGTCTTTTCATTTTAAACAGAGAGCATGGCACATAGTAGCTGCTCACAAAATGCCTCTTGAGTGAATGATTCTTTCCTATCCCTCCTCCATCTCTTCTTCCCTTTGTCCTATTTATGTATCCCTCCCCACCAACCTCCCTTCCTGCTCTTTTTCCTTCCATCCTTCCTCCTTCTTTCCTTTTTCCTTCCATCTAGTCCTTCATTATTCCTCCATCATCAACATCCATTCGTTTCCTCCTTCTTTTCCTCCCCACAGCCCGCAAAGTCTAAAGGATCGAGATTCCTTGAGGAAGACCTTAGAAACTTTTCAGTTTGCCCTCTTGAAACCTATTCAAGATATATTTTAGTTCTAGGCATTGAAAATAAAATGAACTCTGGCCTCACTTCCTACTAAGAGAAAAAAGTACACTGAGAGAATGGTTGGATATTGTTAAAAGAAGCTATCTTTGTGGTTCCCTCCTAGGATAGAAAGGTCACACTTCACAGCACAGAAATTAGCATAATCCTACCCTGAGGATCCCAGAAATATGTAAAAATTCCTTTTAGATCAGCTCCTTGTTCCAAATGGATATTCGAAAACCAATTCCCACATCATTCCCCCCTTCCCACCTCCCACAAAGTGGCTGCAACAAATACTTTTGCTCCCTCCTGCCCCAGTCCCCTTCAGTCTCATACTGTAAAATGAAAGAACTGCAACTGAATCTAGTATCAGTCTCTTACCCTGCCAGGAAAGCTAAGGAGTAGGAGTTGTTCTTGGAAACAAATGCGGAACGATGGGTCTGTGTCATCTTGCCTCGGGAAGGTTCTTCGTTCTCCGAATCTGAGAGGCGTGCAGGACACTGGCAGGAGACAAGGGAGATAACACTATTTGGTGGGTCCACGGACTCTCCCAAAGCTACTGTTTCTCAGCTGGTGTAGGTCATGTCTTTCTGAGCACCTGTGTTTCCAACTGCCTCTTAGAGATCCCAATCTGGATATCCCAAATGTGGCTCAAACTTAATATACCCAAAATTCAGTTCACTCTTTTCTTCTCTAAGCCCCACTACCAATCCAGCTAGAAGCCTCAATGCCATCTCTGACTCTCTCCTTTCCCTTTCTTCAAAGTCATAATAACAGTGTATGGAGGTTCTGAATACACCCAGTACTTCTTGATAGTTTATTTCATTTGTGTTTAATATCAGCCCCATTAAGAAGGGATGACCTGCCCTCTCCAGGTGGCAAACTGAGGCTTAGAACAGTTAATGTAGGGGACTGTAGAGTTAGTAAGTAGCTAACACAAGGACTTCAATCCAGAGTGTCCGTCTCCAAGCTGCTTCCATGGCGGTTCCACTCTACTCCACTCCACTCCTAAAAATGCTGGTCAGATCTAACTCTTCCCAGGTATACTCACTGTCACTGCCTTTCCTTAGATTCTCATCCTCTTCTGCCTGGACTGTTGCAATAATCTACTTACTGGTCTTGCTCGGCTGGCCTCTCTTCCCTCTGATTCTACCATACCATCAAGCACGGAGATAGAATCCTATCACTCTACTCTCCGTGTACCATCATAGCATTTCAAAGCCTCCCTTCTGGGCATGCTATTATTCCCTTTGCTTAAAACTCTTTGTGCCGGGTTGGGAGGGGGGGTGGGATTATGGACATTGGGGAGGGTATGTGCTATGGTGAGTGCTGTGAAGTGTGTAATCCTGGCGATTCACAGACCTGTACCCCTGGGGATAAAAATATGTTATATGTTTATAAAAAATAAAATTAAAAAAAAAAAAACAAAACTCTTTGTGCCACATTCCCTGCCTAAAAAATATTCATTAGCTCTTCAGGGGTATCTCAAATGACACTTTCTCTGCAAGGGCTTCTAAACACCCCTAGAGTCAGCTTTTTCCATTTTCTTGATACTCATTCAGTTCCCTTCATTTTATTTTAGACTCCCTTTTTGAGTTTTTCAATTTACAGTTGAAGTTTCTTTATATGCACTTAGAAAAGAAGTCTGGAAGGACAGTTACCAAAAATGTTCATAAGGGTTAAGTTGTTGGGTGATGAGCAAGTTTTCACTTTTTCTTTGCTGTAACTAAAATTGTTATGCCAAATTGTTTTCCAACAATTCAGTTATTGGTATTAATGTACCATAACAAATCATAAATTGCCATGTCCATTGTATTTCCACTCCAAACTGATAACAACAGATGGTAAATCTTCTTCTAGAATAAGCACTTTCCTCCATTTCAATTCAACTTGATAAACATGAATCAAACACTTGTGATGTACAAGACACTGTAGATTTTCAAATAGCTAGGATACATTTCTCTTACTCAACAAACTTATAAACCTAGTAGAGAAACACAGATAAGCATAATGTAAAGGAGAATGAAACTGGTCCTATAAATTTACAAAGTTGGGAGGGGCGAGAGTAAATAATAGGAGGGAGTAACAAATGAGGAATCCCTCGAAGTTCCAGGAGGGTGACAGGTTTTGCACTGGGTATGGGCAGACGAATAGTCTTTCAACAGGTAAGCAGGGCAGCATTTCAATTAGATGAAAATGTAAGAGCAAAGACTCTAAGGAGGAAAAGCATAAAGTTATATATTTGGGGGCATGCAAACAGCTCTGTTCCCTAGAATTTGGGGGTATGAGCAATGACGGGAAGAGCAGTTCAAACCATACTAAGGACCTGAACATTGGGGTAAAGAATTCTCGTTTAATTCCAGAGGAAATGGGGAATCACCAAGTCTTTTGGTGCAGAAAAGTAAAACAATCAGTTCAGCTCTAATCATATTGTTCTTTATATAAAATACAATCCCTTCAGCTGGCTTTCCACTGAGCCTCTCTTTGGTCCCAATTTGAATGTAGTCTTGGTAGACTAAATGAAATTATTTTTCCAATACTGAAGACTCTTAAGAGACATTTAAAGCAAAATCAGAGCTATTTAAAAATCCCCAAAAAGACAAAAGCAAACAGAAAAAGAGGTAAAAATCACAAAAGTCTAAAACTTCAAGTGTTCATAAGTCAGTTTTTATTCAATGTGTTTTTGCATATAAAATTTTGTGAAACTGGCTATTACCAAAAAAAAAAAAAATAATAAATAAACAAACACCAAGTCTGAGGATTTATACTTCCTGATTACTTTTAAGATTACAATTAGGTTACAATTCTTTTAAGATTACAAAATGCAGGTGATTTCTATTTCAAAGCCGGTAGTGGCAAAAGAAAAATTAATTAGAGCCATTTCCTCGCCTTGACATGAATTAATACTAGAGATCATTTCCTGGAGGAAACTTGGATCTGGCAAGGCCAAAAACAGCAGGTTCTTTATATCAAAGGACCGCAGTGGAAGGTAAGCTCTCTTTGTCAAGATCCGTTTGTCCTAAAGAGAAAGGTCCTTCTGGGTCATTTTGTTTAAGGGATCTAAAGGACGGCCCTCTTGGGGTGAGGAGGCAGAGCTGTAGTCTATAGATCACAGACCGCAGTTGGGGCTGGTTGGGGCTATTAGTCAGAAAACACACTGTATGCACAAGGCTATCATATTTCATTCTCACCTTCCTAGCTAAATTGCATCCTCTCCAGTCTTTTTCCTTTTGTAGCTCCCAATGAACAGAGGATTAAGAGAATGCAAATATTTCATGTTTGTTAAACTGAATCTTTTAGAAGGGTGAAACCCTCCAAAATCCAAGTGACTACTTTTAATAAGAAGTAAGTAATAAGCATTATTGTTATAACTGGGATAAAAATGCACAGTTAACAGCAAATACCACTGATCCAAGAAAGCTTAAATAATTTCATTTCCTAAAGTTCAGGAAAAATGCCTTTACAAAGAGTAAAGCAAAAGCACAGTGAAATTAACTAAGCTGGCCAAAGTTGTACAGTCTGTTACAATGCTGGGACATGTTTAAAAGGCTAACTTCTGGTGCAGAGATTTTGTTTTCCTCTATTCTCTATTGCCTGTCTCATATACAATAAAGCTTTATTAATCCCAGCTAATTAGAAAGTTAACCTGAAATACTAATGAGTTTAAATGACAAATATTTTAAAAGATTACAACTCTAAGGCTATCTTAAGTACACAGAGCAAGCGACAGAAAATGTCTGATCCAGTATATTAAAGAAAAAAACTCAATTGTAATTATCCATTTGAGCATCCAGTGAGCCTTCCAAAAATGCTTTCTTACAACCTTTTCCAGGAATTTGCTTGGTAAATAAGTAACAAAAAAAATTCAGGCAAGATTTGGCAAGATTAGAGGTCTAATTAGGGTTAAACTAAGTAATCTAATATTGAAGACCTACCTTATATCTAGCACTATGTTGCTTAAAGCATTAAAAAGAATAGCGGGAAATCAAATCCAAGCTTTAAGGAAACCTAGCTTAGGTTATAAGATGTACAAAACTCAAATGTCAAATAACACCACGTAGGTCAAAATGACAACATACATATAAAATTTGCACAAGTAATATTCTATACTATGTCCCTTCCCTCACTCCTTTTTTTTCTCTGACTGTTCCCTTAATCTTTCTACCCAAGTCTATTGTCCCACTCATGAATTATTCTCTCTAGCTCTCATCTACTCATACAAGTAGTTCTCCACTACTCATATACTACACGGTCAGCAACTGTTACCGCCCTCATAGCTCAACAACCCAGGTTTTCAGACCCAAGTGACCTGGGCTAACAACTGATTTTGAGCCCGCTGTCCATCAAGATGGTGATCTACTTACATGTTCCAGATCTGTCTTCAGTGCTAATGGCTCATCTCTCTTCTTCTGGTCATCCATTTTCCTTTTCCCCGTTTCCATATCCTCTGATAACAGCTTGTGGATTTGATCTTCAGAGGTTTTCTCCTCTTGTAACTTTTCTTCTCTCAGCTAAAAATACAAATCACACCATGAAGGAGAGTTTTAGGCAACAGCAGACTTCAAAACATCTACTCAGTAGTATATCAGAATGAACAGATCACATGGCAGTCTGGGACTATTTTTCTTACTAGATGTAAAGCCCTCTTAATTTTTAAGTAAGTCTGCTTTTACTTGATTCTTGCCAAACATACACTGCATGGCTTAAGATTTAAATGCTCTGCATTCTTGAGCAATCTGAAATGATAAAAGCCAAGATAATACACATCATCAAAAAATAAGATTGATTCACTTAGCCAAAAAAGGTTGAACCTAAAAATGTTCCTTATTCCCATAAACCTGATATAACTGCGTTAAGTGTAAAGAGCCCAGATAGAGGCCACAGAAGGCCAGAGAAGCGGGCGAGGCAAGACAGTTCTTCAGTCCTAGAGACAACAGAAAAAATTATCACAGTTTCAATGTTCTGCAATTTATGCTATTATCTTGTGGTCCACAGGGTAGGTCAAAATACATGGTTTACAAAGAAACTTAAGGTAGAGGCCTATGCTCCTAATATAGAGGAGACAGCAAGGCATTATGAAAATAAGATGAGTTTTGGAATAAAAACCTGGGTTCTGGTGGTTCTGTCACTTAGTTACCAGCTATATGATCTTGGGCGGAAGAAGCATCAGAAAGGATCATATGCTCACCTACAGAATAGGGATAATGCTACTTACTTTGCAAATACTGTTGTAAGAAATAAATGAGATAATATGAAGTACTTAATGTAGTGTCTTGCTGTATCCTTATAGTGCATTAAAAGTTTCCTTTCCAAATCTCCTTTTATTTTCTTCACTGCCTGGGGTTTTAATAAAACTTAAATGCCATATGAATAGCAAAGCAATTACAGGCTACTAATATTTTCAATCATACTTACAAAAAATAAATAAACCTAAAGAACAAATATTTTTCATTGGCTGTTGCCTCAGGGTTAAAAAGCAAAATCAACAATAACAATAAACAACAATTAAGACTTAGTCTTATCTTTCCAATTTCTATAGGTCTGATTCCTACAGGCCTGAACTAGTCTTTAACACACTGAGTCTAATTCAAGAGGTTACCAATATACAAAGAACACCATACACAATGTTATGTCAGGAAGGGGCTCAAATGAAACAACGTATTCCCAACTTGCCCCAAGTCAAACAAGAACACAAAGGGGAAAAAAGCAAATCCACAGCCCGGGAGAAAGCAAGCCTAACATCAATGGTAACTGCCCACATGAAAGCTCAGTGCCTTTTGATGATATTTGATGAGAAATTCTCATTCAACAAATTGGCCAAAGGCTACACAAATGGGTGTTTCATTTTCACAATATGAACAGGCAGTGTGGCAAAAAAGAGAACTAGTTTTAGCATTGCAAGAATTGCTATCATTTACCCAAGTCCTAGGTGTAAGGTGTCATACATACGTACATTATCTCATGTGAGAAAACGAAGTTCTAGGAGTTAGGTAATGTGTTCAAATTCACAGAGCCATAGTCCTGGAGCTAGAATTCAAATCTAGGCTTATCTCAGTGGTTCTCATCTGAAGATGATTTAGATGTTCCCAGGGTACATCTAACAATGCCTGGTTGTCACCACTGAGGGTGTGGGGTGTGCATACTACTGGTAGACAGTGGGTGGAGGCCAGGGATTGCTACTAAACCTCTTAAATGCACCGGAGAGCCCCCAATAACATATACAAACATTGCTATTTTTTTTTAACTATTAAATTTCCTATTTTATATATTTTAGCGTTTTGTTTAGTGGTTATCAGAGTTTGCATATTATGTCCTCTGGTTTTTTTTTGTTTGTTTGTTTGTTTGTTTGTTTTTTAGATTTTATTTATTTATTTGACAGAGAGATCACAAGCAGGCAGAGAGGCAGGCAGAGAGAGAGGAGGAAGCAGGCTCCCCTAGAGAGCAGAGAGCCCGATGCGGGGCTCGATCCCAGGACTCTGAGATCATGACCTGAGCCGAAGGCAGCGGCTTAACCCACTGAGCCACCCAGGCGCCCCATGTCCTCTGGTTTTACCAGTGTTTTAAAGTATATCCTTTTGCTTCCTAATAATGTTTATTGTTGCTTTCAAAGTTTTTGACAATGAACTTTGACAACTATAGCTGGTGAAACCACCTTTCCATTGCAATGTTGAGTCTCTAACACTGTCATCTTAACACAGCTAAAAATTTAAAACTTGAAAAACCCACATATGGGTTTAAATCTTCACATGAATCGTGTTTGTGTCTTCTCTATACTGGGTTCTGTAGAAGTTATTTTCTTGTCCCTTCTGATTGTTTTTCATAAGGACTTAAGAACTTGGTCTCTAGGAAAGAGTTTTCATATTCTGGGAAAATGCCTCAGGGAGTGTCAGAAAGTAGCATATACACTTGAAAAAGAATTATCAATAGCTGCTCTGTACTGAACTCTTCTTTGTTCCAGGCATTAGGTTTATAGAGCTATCCTCATTCAAACATTAAGGGCTCTGTGTGTATCCATCCTTATCATTTTATAGACCCAAATATTAACACTTAGCGGTTGAAAGTTGCAGAGACTGAATACTGCAGAGCTTGGATTTTAAAGCAAACCACTGGCTTCAGAGATCAGGGTTTCCCAACCTCAGTACTTGGGGCCACATAGGTACTTTTTTGGGGGAGCTATACAGAGTCTGAGAAGAAGGCTCATGCATAATAAATACCTTATTTGGGAGCAGGAGTTAAGGACAGAGTAACATAACAAGGAAAGAAAGCCAATAAAAGTGGTGTGACAGTTGGTCCAGTAACTGGCTACAGAGGACAATATGAGAAACCGCATGAAACGCATCTCAAGACTGTTAGTGTGAAGTGAGAAAAAGGGAAACATAGATCAATTGACTCCAACCTCCCATGGACCAAAGTTTGCTCCGCAGTGTGTTAAACCCCCCTGACATTGGCTTGTACAACTTGAGCAAGTTCCCATGGTGGGCACTGCCACAGCGATAACAGAGAAGCCCAATGCTAACAGCAAGAGGCAGGCAGTAGGAGCTAAACGATCTCAAGCTGCGCCAAAGTGAAGCTGCCTACAACTGTAAAAGGAATGATTTTTACTGCCTCTTTTAGATGCTAATTAGAGAAAAACTACTGACTTCTGTACATTCATCTCATACCCAGTCACATTACCACGAAATACCATGTAATTTTTTCCTGAAAATATCTTTACTTTGCCTTCACTAGTTTTTTTAAGATTTCATTTATTGATTTGAGAGAAAGAGAGCATGCACAAGCAGGGGGAGGAGCACAGGGATGAAGAGACTCCCCGCTGAGCAGAGAGCCCGGACGCCTGCCCTGCTCGATCCCAGGACCCTGAGATCATGACCTGAGCCGAAGGCAGACATTTAACTGACTGAACCACCCAGGTGCCCCCTTCATGTGTCGAAACTGGTATACCTGGGAGCACCAAAATTCGTTTATCCATTCGAGTGTTGGACATTTGGGTTGTATTTAGTTTGGGGCTATTATAAATAAAGCTGCTAAAAAAACAAGTCTTTTTGTGGACAGATGTTTTATTTTGCCTGGCTACATAGCTACAAGTGGAACTGCTGGGTTACATAGTAAGTATATGGATTTTTTTGTTTTTGTTTTTTCAAGATTTTATTTATTTATTTGTCAGAGAGAGAGAGCACAAGCAGAGGGAGCAGCAGGCAGAGGGAGAAGAAGCAGACTCCCCGCTGACCAAGGAGTCTGATGTGGGACTCAATCCCAGGACCCCCAGATCATGACCTGAGTCAAAGTCAGCCGCTTAACTGACCGAGCCAGCCAGGCGTCCCTAGTAAGTACATGTTTAAAATTAAAACATAATTGTCAAAATGTTTCCCATCGTGGTCATACCATTTTATACTCCCACTAGCAATGCATGAGAGTTTCAGATGATTCATAGTTTCATACTCATTCTCACTCTTGGAATGGTTAGCCTTTTAATTTTAGCCATTCTAGAGGATGTAAGGGGACATTCCACTGTGGCTTTAATAACTACTTCCCTGTGGGCTAATTACGCTGAGCATCTTTTCATGTGCATAGAAGCATATCTTCTTTTGTAAAGTATCTGGTCAAATCTTTCAGTCTTATTATTATTATTATTATTAACCTTATTGCTTGCTAGGTGCAAGAGTTCTTTACACATTCGGGATACAAATTACACATTTTGAGAATATTTTCTCCTGGTATTTGTTTTGCCTTTTTATTTCCTTAACAAGTAAAAATTTTTACTTTGATAAAGTCCAGTATGTCAATTTTTTTCTTTTGTGATTAGGATTTTTTGTGTTCCTGTCTAGAAAATCTTTGCCTATCCCAAAGTCAAAAATTTTTTCTTCTATGTTTTCTTCTGCATAATTTTAGCTTGTAAGTTTAGTCTATGACCATTTCAAACCAACTTCTGTATATTGTATAGAGATCAAGGTTCACTTTTACATATTCGTAGGATATTTAGTTTGTTCCAGCACGACTGTGGACAAGACTATTCTTTTGCCACGGAATTACTTTTGTGCCTTGATGAACATTTGTTGACTATATATGAGTGGGTCTATTCCAGCACTATATTCCATTTTATTCCATTTATCTATATGTCTTTTCCTTATGCCAATACCATACTGTCTCAGTGACTAGCATCATAGCAATTCTTGAAATCTGGTAGTAACAATATTCATTATTCACAGACAAATAATCCTCCATCTAGAACATCCACTAGAATCTACAAAAAGGCTATTAGAACTACTTAAGAAGTTTTAGCAAGGTAATAGGATAGAATAGCAAAATATAAAAATCAATTGTGTTTTCATTTACTCACATGAACAACTAGAAAATGAAAATTCAAAAATACCATTTACAATAACATCAAAAATATCAAATACTTAAGATAAATCTGACAAAAGATGTGGAAACTGAAAGCCACAAACACTGCTGACAGGTATTAAAGAAGACCTAAAAAAACCCCAGGATATATCATGTTGATGGGTCTGAG